ACATTGATCAATGTACTCATCAGTACATGCATATACTCATAATTACACTATATTCATAAATGTTGTGAGTCATTAGAGTCAAATAATAACGCATTTAAAGCGCAAATATTAAATACACTCATAAATGAACACACAAATCCATTTATTCACATTGCTGATCAACGCCACCTCTGCATACACTCATGCATATCTCCGTGAATATACTCACAAATCGTATAATAATGCTGCCAGTGATAACATCAATTAATACTGATAAGTGCACCTGTGAATGCACTTATAAATACATTTGTTAGCGCTGCTAATAATACAAAATCGTTGCATTTATTCATGAATGCACCCATGAATACACTCATGAATCTCAAGCTGTCTGATTAGCACACCACAAACGCAAATCGAACCAAATGCAAATGCCAAGACATTTGCATCACTCACGAATGCACTCACACACACACACTCACACACATTCATATGCTAGCTGCCTTTGGCTCTCTTCTTCTTTTTACTCCGCGTTTTTTTTTTTGTTGTTGCATTGTTGTCTTTTGTTGCAAATTGCCAACATGGGCATTGCCAGCTGCCAGCAGCAACAACAATCATAAAGAATACGACAAAAGCTTTTGGCGTCAAAGCTCTGGGGTGCACTTGGCAGACTTTAAGCCGCAGCAGCAGCTCACCCCTCCCCTCCCCCACCGGCCTCTTTCCTACCCCTTTTGACGGCAACACTTGAAACAATCAAAAATCAATGACAAACGAACAGCAGAAAAAAAACACTGAAAAAACACGACATTGAGATGGCAAAAACGACGCTGCGGCTGCTGCTGCTCTTTACTCATTTGTCTTTTGGCTTTTTGGAAATTAACAGCACACGACCCCCCCCCCCCCCCCCACCCGCCTCACACACACACACCTTCGCCCACTGACTGTCGCAGCAGCAGTCGAAAGCCTCTTTAGCTGACTGCTTGAAAAGTAACCCCTTTTTTATAGCGCCCAAGCAAGCTTCCTTTACTCGCTCCGCATCGCTCTCTCTCTGTCTCTCTCTCTCTCTCACTCTCTCTCCCCCTCTCTCTCGCGCGCTTTGTCTTGTGTGCTGTCTCTATGCCTCGCTTTATTTACATACATATATATGTATTGTATATACATATATATATGCATATATATTTTTAAATTTTTATGCCCGAATGAGTTTTAATTCCTTTGACGGTTGCTTTTGGCATTGGCAGCTGGCGTGCCTAAAAGGCTGCTACAACAATTTTTATATATGTATTATACGCGCACATGCAGCTTCTTCTCTGTATGTGTGTGTTTGTGTCTTTGATTGCTTATTGTTAATTTGTATTTGTATATTGGTCGCTTGTATATGTGAGCTCTGAGATGTTTTTGCTGCTGCTGTTCGCTGATTAAACCCTTTTTTACCCTAGTCCATATGAATGAATGTGGCAATCACACACACACACGCAACACATACATAGAGCATCTTAATTCCTTTTGGCGTTTTATGCATCGACCCAAGCAATTCGCCCACCTGCTGCCACATTTTGTTGTGCCTATGAGTCTGTGTAAGAGTGTGTGTGTGTGTTCGCCCATCAACGTCTTTTGCCTTCGAGTGTTTGTTATTATTATTGTTGTTGCTGTTGTCATGTGTGTGTGCGTGTGTCTGTGTGTGCGTATGTGTATTGACTGCTTTGTCAATTGTTTGGGGCTGCTGGCAGCCTGCCTGGCTGCCTGCTTGTCGTCGCGCTGGCTGCCTGGCAATTTTGTTAATTACAAATCGTTTGCTTTTGGCTCTATGCTAATGTCTCTGCCTGGGACACCAATCCCCCAGCCCCATCCCCAGCCCCAAACCCAAGCCCACACCCCAACCACTTGGCCCGCTTGGCTGTCATGTGTGTGTGTGTGTGTGTGTGTGTCTGTGTCTATTTTTGCATAACTTACGCAACTTTTTACAATTCTGACAGCTACCCCACCGCCAGCAAATGCCCCAACCCTTTGCACAACAAACAAAAAAACAACACAAGGGTTGTTGTTCTATTATATTTTATATATATGTATATATACATAAATATATGCATATTTGTATACAGTTATAGACTATCAGCTGAATATCGCTGTCTATTTTACACACAAAATGCACTTCTTGGGGCTAGCAACAAACCAACGCCAATTAACAGCTGGCCACACACTCTCACTCTCACACTAACACACACACACAGACACGCACACAGGCAGCAGCAGCCTGAACTGTCAGTCAATGTCCAAAAGTCCCTTACCAAAATATTCAACTATTCCCATTGTTGGAAAAATGTAAATTTTCATAATTTTATAGTCAATACTTTGTGTATAGCAACCCCCCGCGCTGCGTCCCTTCACAGCATTCATCTCATAGTTTTTGTTTGATTGCTACGTAGTTGTTGCATCCCCTCCCACCTAACCGCCTCTCCACCACCGACTTCTACTTTCGATTCGTATATATGGGCATCCAGTGAGCCGCAAAGCCAAAGCCACAGGCAGCCAACGAATTGGACAGGCAAAAGTTTTTGGCGCAAAGGGTTGCAAATGATTTTTGAGTTGTGTCGAAAATCCCCAAAAAGTTGATTTATCGTTTTAATAATTCTTCAACTGTGCCTGAAAACTCCAGCTTCTGCCTCCGCCCGCTTGCCGGCTGCCGCCTGCCGCCAGCCGCTGGCCGCCTTGTCGTGCTGCTCTTCAAAATATATAACAAAATCAAATCGAAATGACAAAAATGTGAAGATGCACTCATCTATTAATATTTACCTAAGTACTGTGCAGCGTTGCCGCATTTCAGCAGACGCTGTTGCCAAATTTCAATTTTAAAACCTTTTAGACTCTAGTTTGAAGGCGTTCGCTTGTGTGTGTGTTTGTGTGTGTGTGTGTGTGTGTGTGTATGTGTGTGTATAGCAGTTGATTATTAATGCACTCGTGTGTGTGTAAGACACAACAAGACACACACGTACCCAGGCACAACCCTTGGCATACCCGTACACTTGCGCCGCATGCTAATTGCGTTTATTTAACAAAACAAATTTTTTACATTTCCCAGCTTTTGAAGGTGGGGCGACTCAATTGAGTTGGCAATTAGATGCCAGCCAGAAGGGATTTTTTGAATAGGTCTATATGGGGTATACAACATTTTTATGCAATTAATTTGAGTCGTCGTCGTCGTTGTCATCGTCGTCATCGTCGTTGTCGTTGTCGTTGTTGTCCTCGCTATCGTCTTGTGTCATATGCTACTTCTTCTTTTAACAGTGGGGTTGTTGTCCTTAGCAGCTCTCACATGTCTTGTATGCTAATGAAAAATCGAACACGCAACCCCAGACCCCGCAATTAGTTGGATAGAGGGCATGGTATGTGTGCTGCCTTTTGATTGATAATGAAATTAACTGCTTAGCATTTCTAGGCATGACATGTTCTACGAAACCAGCTAAAGACACATGTTTCGATGCGCATTAACATGCATATGTATATACATATATATTTATGCTGATGCGTTTTTAATGCCAATTATTTGTTATTGCATATGTGTTTCGGTGGCCGCCCTCTATTGCCGTCAATAATCATAATCTGGAACATTTGCGTTATTTTATTGATAAAATATATAAATAAAGCAAAAGTTTTGCCAATCAACTTTTTGTCATATGTCTATAAATTAATGTGCCACACAAATAACGCAATGACACGCAAATTACCAATTGGCATTATGTTGATTTGAGTTTTGTCTACTGCTATTTCCTCTGCTTCTTCTTCTCTCGTATCGTAACTCCTGGTGTACAGTTAATCCAAAAAGTCGCTGTACAAGTTTGTGTGTTGAGGCTGCCTTTGGCATATGCGTCAATTAAAAACCGCGCCATTAAATTAATTTTAATCACATAATAAGAAATATACACACACACGCGCGTACGCACATACGCACACACACAAGCCAGCTGGCTGTCATTAAAAAATTTTGTTGCATACCGCACGGCGCAAAACTTTATCTTGTCAACTTTGTTGCGGCGCCACGCCTCCTGCAGTTACACACGCCCCTCCTGGCAAAGCACACATCGCGCACACGTCTCTCACGTTGCTGTCGTTGACGCACTTAAGAAAAATTCCCTTGTCAAATTTGCCAATTATCATATTTTCATCAAACAAACAAAGTTCCAAAAACTCAAACGCTCGCTGGAGGCGCATTACCCCTGTTCCCAGCCCCCAGTCTGCATTGTACTTGTGTACCTTTACCACCACCACCACCCCCTCTTACTCCTAACTCGCTTTGCCGCTTTTTACCTGTACACCTGTGGCTGTATCTGTGGCCTGTTTCCAGCAGCTTCACTGGAGTCACAGGCAATCAGCGACATCGCCGTCGCCGTCGCCGTCGACGTACTCGTTGTTAATTTTATTAAAAATTATTTTATAACTCTCGAACTTTTGCACATACACGACGCGTCGCGTTGTGATGCGATGCGATGCGATGCGTTGCGACTTTTCTCTGTGTCAGACCCGCCCCGCCCTCTGGCTGTTCGCACGCATTGTTGTTGTTTAAATATGGATGTGTGCAATTAAAAAAGAAGAAATGAATCTAAAAAATATACAAAAAGAACCTTGCAACCACAATGACAGAGTTGCCGCAAAATATGCAAGCAAAAAGTTTGCAGCTTTCCCTTGCCTCAAAGTACAAATATCCATCAACTACTGATTGTAAACTCAAACAACTCCGAAATTAGCAAAAAAATAAAATTAAAAAACCCTTCGTCAGACTTCATTGAAAATGGTATGTCTCAATCCCAATCTCTCGTAACTGAATAAAATATCCTACTCAATTATTTCTCCCCATATTTGCCTTTTTTTCAATTCCGCTTTATGCGATATTCTTAAACGATGCACTGTCAACGCGGTGATTGGTAGAGTAAGAAAAGACAATGATACGATATAAGAATTTTAGATATGCCCACTCCACTTAAGCCCACAGACTAATGACTATCTTATTTTCTTTCCATCTATTGCAGATTAAAGCACTTTTGGATGAGTTGCAACGCCTGCGCGCTCTGGAACAAACTCACCTGATACAAATCCAGAGGCTCGAAGAGCATTTGGAAGTGAAGCGACAGCATATTATGCGTTTGGAAGCGCGCTTGGATAAGCAACAGATAAATGAGGCACTCGCCGAGGCTACTGCATTGGCGGCCGTTGTTAATGCAGCCGCAACAAATAATAACAACAATAGCAACAGCAACAACAATAACAACAGCAACAATAACAACAATCACAGTAGCCAGAGCAGCGACAATAACAACGTATTCAAAACAGATCTAACATCGACCCATCAGCACAACGACGATGATGACGATGACGATGACAATGATCATGATAATGAGCTGCGCGATGCTGACGATGATGAGGATATTGACAATAGCGAGCAGCAACATGCCGCTATGGTAAACAATCGGCTCGACGATGCAACCGATAAGGATGATTCCGAGGAGCAGGATGCCGAAATGTCCAATGCCACAGCCACAGCGGACAGCAATGAGCTGAAAATCAAAAAAGAGCAGCAGTAAGTAAAAAGCATAGGCCCACACTCAAGTCGCGTATACCCTAAGTCAAGCATACCTAAGCTACAAATCCAACTAGTATGATTGTAGTAAAAGGAAACTAATCTGTTTCATTTCCAACTCATACCTAACCTCTAACTACAAATGCAACTAAAATGAGTGCAAGTATAATCACAACCCAAGCAAACTGCGATATATATCATGAAAGCAAACCAACTCGTTTTATTTCCAACTCATACCTAACCTCAAACTTCACCTTAGCTACAAATTCAACTTGTATAGTTGCGACTACAATCGTAGTCTAAACATACTGCGATTTAAAGCATGAAAGCCAAGTACTATAACTATAACCTATAACTGTTTCATTTCCATTTCATACCCAATCCCAAACTGCCGCCGCTTGCAAACAATTAAATACTTTATTTCCATTTGCTTTTCTTTTCCGCAGCAGTCCACTGGACCTGAATGTGCTCAGTCCACAGTCGGCCATTGCCACAGCCGCGGCGGCCGCAGCAGCCGCTGCCTGCGCCAACGATCCCAACAAATTCCAAGCTCTGCTCCTGGAACGCACCAAAGCACTGGCCGCCGAGGCGCTCAAGAATGGCACCAGCGATCCAGCCAGCGATGGTGAGTATAACAATCACCATAGCTGTACCAGCAAACGGTGCAGTTCTATTCCGTTCGTTCGCGTTCCAATGCGTTTCACATACGCGCTGCTGTTTTGTCGCTTGTAGCAAGCGTTCGCTTTGATTTCTACCGCCAAACGGCGCCCAGGCGGGGGCCATTTTATTGCTCTTGCTTATTTAACTAACGGGACATCGTACCGTTCGTAACTTTCTTATCGGCGCCAAAAGACTGCGGCGCCAATTTTTATGGCTGTCAACAAGCGAACAAAACTGAGCGACGATCAGTTGAGGCAGACGCATTCGTCTCTTCCTGTCTCTCTTACTTTATTTATATTCTTTGTTGTATGTTTTTTTGCACAATTTTTACAATATTTGCATCAAAACGTCTGCGTATATTGTCTTTGTTGTCGTTGTTGTTTTTGTTGTTTTTATTGTTGTTTTATACACTTTGAGTTGCTCTGCATGCTTATCGATCATATTGACATATATGAAAGCCAAACACAACAGTTGACAATCATCGTTATTATTATTATTATAATTATAATTATTATTATTATTGTTATGTGTTTATCGACAACAACACGCTTCAATGCTATCGATTTCTCTCTTTCTCTCTCTCTCTCTTGTACTTCATACATATACACATGTATATCAATATATATATATTTATGAGCCTCTAATTACACACACACACATACAGTTTCTTTGTTGTTTTGTTGTACGAATTGGCAAGCGAAAAGTTGTTGGCAAACAAAAAAAAATATTGAAAAGAAATCTAAAAAAAAACTTTTGATTAATTTTTGGCGTTTTGTTCCATGGATGTTGTTGAAATCAGTATACCAAACAAATACTAAATATCAAAAACAAAAAATAAACAAAATAAAATAAAAAACCAAAAAACCCAAAAAACAAAAAAAAACAAACAAAAGTATTTTATGATAGATCATTGCAAATAAGTCGCAACAACAAAAGGCACAACTTTTTTGTTGTTTCCCGCAGAAATGCCGCAACAACAACAAGCCGTAGACGCAGCAACAGCTGATCATGCGGCAGTAGAAGAAGCAGCAGCAGCAACAGCAGCAGCAGCAGCAGCAGCTACAGGAACAGCAGCTACAGCTACTGCCAAGCCAGAAACAATGAAAAACATTATGGAAACGCCTGAGCATGAAACATTGGCCGAGTCCAATTTGCAGCCCAAAATCGAAATCTTAGACGCAGATGAGGAAGCCACTGAGACAGCAGCTGGCCAAACGCTGGAAGAGCAGCTGGTCAATAGCTATTGGAGGCGTGGCTTTGAAACGAGCACAGCAACAGCAGCAGCTGCAACAGGGAGCAAAACGCCAACAATTTATCAAAATGCCAATGCGGTGCAGCAGCAACTGTTGCCACCGCCGCCGCCGCCTCCGCCGCCACAGCAGCAACAACAACAACAGCAACAACAACACTATCAACAGCAACAACATGGACCCTCGTCCACTGTGCTACTCAGTCAATTGGTTAACTCAACTTTCTCACATGCCAATCACTCCTCTTGTTCCAATTCCAAATCCGCACGCCTAGATGCCGCAACACAGCACCAGCTCCAGCAGCAGCAGCAGCAACAACAGCCACAACTGCATCAACAGCAACATCTCCACAACAGCAGCAATAGCAGCAACAGCAGCGCAGCCGGCAGCGATCCACTGAATCATCATCATCATGGCCACCACCATGGCCATTCGCATGGACAGCTTTTGCATGCGGGACACCATCTGCATCATGGCGCCGACTCGAATTCATCCAGCGCCAACAGCACGCCAAATAGCACCGCCCAACTGGCAGCCAGCATTGCCAGCACGCTGAACGGTAATAAGTCGCTGTTGCAGGCAGCGGCTGCTGCCAATGTGGCCGCCGCTGCCGTTGCCGAGGACAACAACAACAGTCTGACGCCGAACGCGAATGCGGCAGTTGCCGCCGCGGCGATGGCTGCACATGCACAGCATGCCGCCGCACTGGGTGCACCCAATTTTCTGCCCAATCTGCCCAGCCTGCCGGCATTCCAGTTTGCGGCCGCAGCAGCCGCTGGCCAGGAAGCACGTGCGCATTTTCGGTTTGCGGATGCTGAGCTGCAACTGCAGCCGGGCGTCTCGATGGCCGGCCGATTGGGTGAATCGCTGATACCCAAAGGTGATCCCATGGAGGCCAAGCTGCAGGAGATGCTGCGCTACAACATGGACAAATATGCAAACCAGGCGCTCGATACGCTACACATCTCGCGGCGCGTACGCGAGCTGCTCTCCGTGCACAACATCGGGCAGCGTCTGTTTGCCAAATACATATTGGGCCTGTCCCAGGGCACCGTCTCCGAGCTGCTGAGCAAGCCAAAGCCCTGGGATAAGCTGACCGAGAAGGGTCGTGACAGCTACCGCAAGATGCATGCCTGGGCCTGTGATGATAATGCCGTCATGCTGCTCAAATCCCTCATACCCAAGAAAGGTGAGTGCCAAACCGTTTTTTGTTTTTTTTTTTTTGTGTTTAGCTAATTAGTCGCAGCTACTAGATTTAGCTAGTTTTTAGTGTTATCAGCGGACACGCAGCACAACTAAATTAGTTGACAGGTTGTCGCACGCAGCGGGGCCAGACTGTTGCAAAACAATTTTGACAGCTGACAGTTGCTGCTTGCTACGAGCTCCGTTTGTTGCGACCTGATATAAATTCCATGTTGAGACAGCGAAAATTTAAAGAATACATGACAATTTCTGATGATTCAGCCTAAAAAAAGATATAGTCCATAGGTTGAGTTATATGATTTGCTAATTGTCAGCACCTTTCATCCTTTTTAAATATATATAAATATCGAGTTAGAATAAATGATTGGATTTCTTTCCATTTGTTTGAAACAATTGAATTGTAACACAATTCGTTATTCCTTCATTCCACTCCATAGAAATGACCTTTTCTTGCCTCTTCCATATAGGTCCTTCTTTATTGAAATTAAGCAACTGCCCTAAGCTCATGTTTTTCATTTAGTTGGCTTAGTTCTAGTAAATAATTTGAAATTCAAGCAGTTGAATTAAAACACTGCGCATTTCATTCCCCCCTTTCCTGCCATTTTTGCTCGTTTCGCGCTTGTTTTTGTTATTTTGTTTTCATTTGAGTTTTCTTGGCTTGCGGCCAAAACATTAAAATGTGAAATTTTAATTATTTTTGATTTTTGCGTATAATCAACGTGCCAACGGGCAACAACGATGGCGACGACTGGATGCATTTCATGCAACCATTTCGCCTGTCGCCATAAATTTTGGCAAATTTGCACATTAGGCGTAACATTTTTTGTTTAGCACTCGAACCGCGGACCTGGGCAACCAGCTATCGAATGGTGAAGTCTGATCTTTGCTCAACGATTACGTACCATAAATTTCTGTATAACCATATATGTATCTAACTCTTGGGCTGTGTGCTGTTAGGGTCCGTTCTCCTTTCGATTTGTTTGTTTGTAGTTGTCTTGGTTAAGTTTTATTGATTAGTCATCAATTTGATGGGCCTGCACAACAGAACTATGCCAGACGTGCAACCGCGGGCGGGAAGTGCGATGGGTTGCGGTGCTACAAATATGTCAATGCAAAAGTATTTTTAAAGTACGAACTGTGTGGCACAAACACGCACCTACCCCAAACAGCCGCCCGCCGCAAGCCCCTCTCTAACCGAAGCGACTTGCGGCTTGGTAAAGTTAATCAAAGTTTTTCCTGTGGCCCTCTGTTTGCCCAATGCACATGTGTGTGCGTGTGTGTGTCTAAGTGCATGCAAATGTTGACAATTAATTTATGACGATTACTCATGACAGCTAAACTAACTGTTTATATATTTATGCATATAGAACGCCGGCGCTGCATACTCTTTTTTTCTTCTTCAGCTATTGAACGTGTTTAGTGACCCCCGTGCGCCTAGCCCCCCCCACACCCACACCCAGCCCCTCTAGCCCGCTGCTGTCAGTTAATTATAAGCAAATAGACATTTAGATGCATGCCACAGGACAACACTCTGGCGGGGCTTGAAGCAGTTGCAGTTGCAGTTGCATGAAACTGTTGCCTAGCACAAGGGCGCAAATTGCATACAATTTGAGTTAAATCGTTAGAATATCAAATAACAACAATTATTATTTTTATAATAATAATAATGCTTGAAATCAACAAGCTGCAATACTTTGAAGTCAGTTTGTGGACTGAAAAGTTGAGCGAGCGCAGCGCGTCAATGATTTTTGAATTGTAATTGTTTAAAGCGCCAGCGAGCGCAGTGGAACGAGTGGGAATGGAATGGAATGAAATAGAATGGGGCGACGCGACGACTGCCGTGACAATTGGTCTGTGAAAGGCTTGAAACAAAATACATTTCAAAAAAAAAAATAAAAAAAAATTAAAACAACAATTAAAAAAACAACAACAACAGCAAATGTAAAGTAGAATTAAATGTAAACAACGACAACAACAACAGCAACAGCAACAGCAACAACAACAACAACAACAACAAAACGCAATGCAACGGCTGCCTTCAACGAGGCATGCAAAACGTTGACGTGCCGCGCGTTTGAAGTCGTCTTTGTGCTGGACAAAGTGCGGCAGCAGTTGAGTGGCAGCCGGGGGCAGCAACGGGGTGGCGGGGGCGTTGCGAGTTGCGCGTTGCAATGCGGAGTTACGCCAAGGGCGGCTACCTAACGATTGGTAAACCAGTGCTGCCCCATCTAGAGGTAGGGGTAGGGCTAGCACCAGGGCAGGAGTACCGCCGCCCGCCTGGTTGACGTAAAACTTTTCGCGTTTTTGGTTTGCTCTGCCGTTAAATATTTTCTTGTTTTTTTGCTTGTTTTTTGTTGGTTTTGTTTTTGTTAAACATTTGACGACAATTGTTGCATATTAAACGGCGCACGGGCAAAGCGAGTGGAAAATTTTAGCAAAAAAAGCTCAAGAGCAAAAAACTATTGAAAAAGTTAGAAAACAAAGTTAGGAATGCCATATATTCGGCAAAATCATGTAGAATTGACGCTGGTTGGGAGAAAAATGTATTTCTGACAAACATCGGTTTATGTATATAATATAGATAAATGTTATCGATTTATGATTGTACTATCGATACATGTTATCGATGATTAAAGGAATATAACAATTTGACGTGCTATGTAATAAAATCCGTTTTAATATGAAGAACAATTATCGATATGTTATCGATAGTTAGTTGTCACCACTGTGCGTGGCAATGTGCACTAGTTGCCTGAAAATTGACAATGCTTTGCCACAACAAATATGCACACAAGTAGCAAGAAGAGGAGAGGGTAGAGAGCACTAAAGGTTGGGTTTACAATAGAGTCGTTTGAGTGCTCAATTCAAACTGCATTTAGCATGGCAAAAATTTAAAAGCGGGCAGGGAATTAATACAAAAAAAAAAGCCCGACGTCATTTTAACCCCGTCAGACAAGTCGTATACGTAATGGCAAATATTTGTATTTGTCGGCAGCAGCAGCAGCAAATGTGGCCGAGGCAACTCGTTATGGCAGCTAATAATACTAGCATATTAACACATAATTTTAGCAGACGTCGTCTATTTGTTTTAGCCAACCATCAGCAGCCGAAAAGTCGAAAAGTCGGGCGAAAAGTGCGTGGCCCAAAATAGAAAAGCACGCGGCATAGAAGACAAAAGAAAACAGCTATCGCACAGCGCAAGCGGCATTGTGGCAAGCGCAGTGCGGCAAGGGGGCATTAATAGTAGTTGTTGTTGGGGGGACGGAACAGACCCGGGTGTGGGCCTCTAACGGGTCGAGGAGCTAAAGACAAAAGCATTCCGAATGCCAAACAGACAGACGACGAAACACTGCCTGGCACTTTTATTTGCCGCCGTTTCACAAATTATTTGTCACCAGCCATAAAGCGAAATATGTGCCTCACATACACGCGCGCACACACGCGCACACACACGCACACACACGCACACATGCACAGCCTGACTAAGTGGCCAACGGGCCGTATCAATTCCTGCGCTTTTTGGCCTCAAATTTAAGTATTTTTCTTTTATACATTTTCTATTTTTCGCTTTGATTGTAATTTATTTTATTTGATTTTATGAAAATTGCTTTATGCGAACTGTTCGGGGGGGGAGGGGCGGGGCAGCAGGAGCGGCTGCTTTGCGCGGAATGTGCTTAGCATAACAATGGGGCGTGGCTCACATGCGTGGGGTGGCGGATTGGGGGTGGTGGCAACAGAAAATCTAATAAACATAAATTAGCATAAAGCTCGCTCAGCAATTTTTATAAATACTATTAAATATGTGTATACAATTTTATATGAATATTCAAAAATGCTTTCGCCCAAGGTGTGTAGAAGCAGGGTATACGAATGCCTTATTAGCTTAGTCAATGAGTCAGAGCAGTTAGTGCAAATGAATCATTTGTGATACATTTGAATTAAATCAAAATGACATTGAATGGCTGCGTGCTTAGTTGTATTCATAAAGTGAATCAAAGGTGCATAACGAATAAATGTAAACGTCCCATACTAATCATTCAATTGGCAAATGAATAAACTGCAGCAAGTCAACAAGTTGATAAATATACATTTAAATAATTTATAAAATATATATAATAAATACAACAAAAAATGGCTTGTACACAAATGTGGCTTCTACACGTTATGTGCAGCCAGTGGATGCCACGCCCTTTGCGCCGCATAGATAGACAAGGCAAAAGTTTGTCTTCGACATTTTGCCATTATGCCGCAAAATGTTGCACATGTCTAGCGCGCTCGTGTTGCACTTGCTGAACTTTTATTTCCCCTTTTCATTTTACCAGTTTTTCATTTATAATTTCGTGTGTTGCTTGGGCTAATTACTTTGTAATGAACTTTGACAACAATAATAAAATAAAAAAAATAAAAATGAAAACAAAGCAAATAAAAATCAAAATAAAACTTGCAAATTACCTTGAGCCAGCGCATGTTGCAGGGGCAAATTTCTTGTCATATTTTTGCGCTTAATTGCAAAAAAAAAAAATACTCATAAGCCCCAACCAAAGCGCCCCAAATCCAATTTCGACTCCCTCTTGACTGATTTGCCTGCAATTGGAATTGAGAAATTGGCGCTTTGTCGTTTGATGTTGCTCGCCGTTGTTGTTGATGAAGCAGCTCTTACCATTTAGAGGCACCCGCGGCAACCCCTTTGCTGCTGCTCCTTACCACAGCAGCCACTTCATTTGCCATGCTACGTTTGCCCTCAGCTCAGTTAGAAGAAAGCCGCTGAAGCAGCTCAATCCACGCTCAAGTAGGTGTCTCTCACTGTCTGGGCTTCTTTCTGCCTTCGTTTTTAATTGACACTTCTGCTAATACCGCCCCCCCCCAGAGCTGCCACCGACCTTGCTCCTGCCCCTGATCCGGCCAGGACAACAAGCACACACACAGCTGACTGGCATTTTAATTAGAAAATTTTTCTTGCAATTAATGCAAATTGCGTGCGTGTGCCAATTTCAATGCGTCAGTTCAATTGTGGCAGCAAACCCGCCCCCATCCCCCACACACCCCTAACCAGTCAACTATAAGCCCTTTTTTGCGACTGAAGTATGATTACATATTTGTGTGCTGGCAAATATTTATTGTATTAGGAAAAACTCCACAGGAAAAACTCAACAAAAGCAAAACAAAAAAATATATAAAAAAAAATAAAAAAGACAAAATATACAGTCGAATGAACAGGGTCGGGGATAGGGCTCGTTGCGGGAGGGCTGGGCTGGGCTGGGGCACTCATCGTGTCTGGCGAGAATATTCGTCTGATTTGTTATAAAAGGCAAATATTCATCAAGCAAATTGTGGCACAGGTGGTGGCTAGTGGTCGTGCGGGCCACAACAAATATATATACATATATATATATATAAATATATATATGTATATGGAATATGATAGCTCATATCTATATTTTTTCGCGTAAAATCCATATCCTTTTGAATGACAATTTGGTCAACATGTTCCTCTCTAATAAATTACAAACAACACACACACACACACACACACACACACAAAAAACACACAAGTGAAAATACCAGACAAAAAAATGGCCAACGGTAACACACAAAAAAAAAAGAACGACAAATATTCAAATATACATATTTATACTTATATCTATAGGTTGGGGCATTGCGTTATTTAAAAGTCGCGTCTGTCTGCAAATCCAGCAAACCCCACGATGAGCTGCTTAAAAAGTTTTTGTTTTTTTTTTTTTTGTCTGTTGTTTAAACGATTTTAAAAACTCACCTTTTAAAAGACATTCGTGGAGTTAAATATTTAGCTACAATTAAAGACTTTTAAATAGTATAAAAAATATTTTAAAAATTCGAAATCGTTTATAAGAAATGTTGTAGAGTTTCAGCTAGAAGAAAACATTTTAAATTATGCTTTCAAATAAATATTGAACATAAATTACAAAACTTTCCAACACTATGACCCGGCCAGAATTTGCCAATCTTTTAATTCATCTAATTGTTAAATTTCATTCCAATAAAGTGTCAATTCAATTTATGCCTTACAAATATTTCTTTAAAACCTCTCTTAAAGTCCAAGCCAAGTGCCAGCCAGCCGCTTATTGATTGTTGAGGTTATGTGTGACAGTTGACAGTGCATTGCCCTGCCCTATCTCCATCTCCATCTCCATCTGCAGATCCAGATCCGTTTCCGTTTTCCATTTCCATTTTTCAGTTTCATTTTCAGTTCCAGTTGCCATAGACCATCTCCGTCTCCGGCTAAAGAGCGCTTAAGCTGTCTGTGTCTGTATCCCATATTCTATGTGGCCACTGTGTCTGTCCTGGCGTGGGGTCAGCCAGGTGTCATCAATGTCATCTTCGACTTTATAACACAAAAACACTTTGTAATCCCCAAATGAAGCGACGACGATGACGACGACCAAGAGCTAAAGTAACCAAAAAAAAAAATCAAAAAACACTAAAATGAAAAAATGTTAAAAATTAAGAAAAAAAATTGCCAACAAAAAAATAGATGAAATGTAAAATCCAAAAGTTTGTGGCTGCGGCATGTGGCATGTGCCATGTGGCATTCGCCAAGCGGTGGGGCATGTGTCGTCACTCCGCGAAACGTTACGATCTATTGTAGTTGGCCCTTTTATCGCCTTTTGCCCATCTCCGAGGCAGTCGCTCTTCTAGCTTTATTGTATTTCAATGGCAAACACTTTTCAATTCGCCCAAAATCGTTCGCTTCAATTGACAACGGGCGACCAAACATTTGTCATTCATGTGTTGATTTCCGTTTCCTGTGCTGGTCCTCTACTCCTCCCCTATCCCCTATCCTGGGTTGGCTGTATGCGCTGGACAAGTGTTTGCTCCTTTGGGGCATCGATTATAAAGCGATTTTCAGTTATTTCGTTGCGCTGCCACGCCCCCTAGCTCCCAGCGCCCAATTGCGCCGATTGATGTTTGTTGGCTCGCAGCCACAAAAATACCGCAGGACACAAAGAGCACGCGGCACATAGCTCAACCACTTGTTCTATTATTTTACAATTTAGCAGTCGATCTTTTTATTTTTCTCGATTCTTTTTTTCGATTTTTATTTTGTTTGTTCTCTTGCAGCGACATTTAACGAGTGGAACCAAAAAGCTCCATTTCAATTGAATTTGTGCAAAGCATTTTCCTATTTTTTTATGGTTTTTGTTGTTGTTGTTGTACGCCATGTACTCTTTCAATTGCAATTGAATTCACATTCATTTATTCATTTCGACTCGTGTTTCGTTTATTCAACCTGGACCATACACACCATTGCCCGCTCGCTTCGATGAGCCTTTGGCCTGGCCAGCTCCATGTTCTCCCCAGCCCCAACTCCCAGCTTTTTCTCAGTCCACCTTTTGGTTTCATGGCGCGTGCCAAATTAGCGCGCCGCTTGCATTGAACTATTTGAGGGTCCATCCAGCTCCTTTTTTTTTTCGTTATGTTTTTTTGACTGAACTCTTTCCTAGCTTTTATATTTTTGTTCCATTGATGTTTTTATTGCCCTGGTTCACGGTTCGCTTTGTCTGTGGTCGCGGTTTTGTTGATTGAAAATCAAATGGTGTTATAATTGAGCTCTTTGGGGTTGGGGTGCAACAGGGTAGCTGCAACAGAGTAGCTGCATGCAGCTCATATGGCGGCTTGGTGGCATGGATTTGTGCAGTGGCTGCCTTGGAATTTATAATGCACAAAATGTTTATCAAATTCATGTACACTGCTCAACAAAGTTGCGGCACAATGTATTCTAGTTAGATCCGGGTTTGAGGTGCACTTCAATATGTGCATTAAATTGGTTTGATCATTTGAAGTTAAAGCAATCATTTTTTCTTTAGACTTCTGTATTATTGGGCTTATAACTAATTATTTATAGTAAATACTTATATTTTGGTCAAGGGTTTTTCGCTCAGTGCGTGGCCAGAAATCAAAAGTGCAGCAGAGTGGCTTTTCAAATGCTGCGCCGCTTTATGGCCACAAATTTGCGCTGGCTTTTTGAACGCTTTATAGCTTAATTGGCCCGTTGGCCAGGCCACTTCGGTTTGGTTTGGTTTGGTTCGTAGCTGCTATCAATTGGGCTTCAATAAATGAGCAAAAACCGAATGCGCATAAACTTTATAACGTTTAATGGGCGATGCCACTTTACGATCAATATACAACATACAACATTAACTCATTCCAATTTCCTAAGTTAACCTCCCTGTCTCTTTTTTCGCACAGATTCCGGACTGCCACAGTATGCTGGTCGCGGCGCTGGCGGCGATGATTCCATGTCCGAGGATCGCCTCGCACACATACTCAGCGAGGCCTCGTCCCTGATGAAGAGCAACGTGGTTGCCGCCCAGCAGCAGCAGGAGCATCAGCGTCGCCATGTCGGCGACGATACGCACAGCAACGAGGACAGCAAATCGCCGCCACAGAGCTGCAGCTCCCCCTTCTTTAAGGTGGAGCATCAGATCAAACAGCAGCAGCAGCAGCTGCATGTCTCCGAGCATGCGCAGCGTGAGCAGCGCGAAGCGGCCGCTGCCGCCGCCGCCGTTGCCGTCCACCAGCAGCAGCAGCAACGCGAGCAGCGCGAACAGCGTGAAGCCGCGCAACGTGAGCAGCAGCAGCGTTTGCGTCACGAGGATATGGCACAGGACAAAATGGCGCGTCTCTATCAGGAGCTAATGGCGCGTACTCCGCGCGAGGCAGCCTTCCCCAGGTGAGTGTCGCTTAAAGTTTATAGTAGACATAATGAATCGTTTCGAAAGTCAATTTGAGCTTGATCGAACGATTTGTATTGAAACTCAATTGCTGCGTCCGCATCATGATAGTGCAGAATCCGTCTTATATACAAATTCGAATCTACAGATTTGAGTATTAATCTTTTTTGTTGATTGTTGCAGCTTTTTGTTGTCGCCGTTCTTTGGTGGAGCCGCGGCCATGCCTGGAGCAGCCGGCAATCCATTTCCCGCGGCAATGGCCGCCGATGAGAATATGCGTCATGCATTCGAGCGTGAGATTGTTAAGCTGCAGCAGCAGCAGCAGCAACAGCAGGCGCAGGCCGCCAGTTTTCCCAACTTTTCCAGTTTGATGGCCCTGCAGCAGCAGGTGCTGAACGGTGCGCAGGATTTGTCGCTGGCCGGCAAGGATATTAAATTGAACGGACAGCGCTCGTCCCTGGAGCAGCACAGCGGCAGCAGCAGCTCTAAGGATGGGGAACGCGGCGACGATGCTGATCGCAGTTTCCCAGCACTGCCGCATGTTCGCAAATCCGAGGGCGGCAACACACCTGCACCGCCAGCATTACCAGCACCACCCGCGGCAGTCAGCAGCAGCAATCCGAATGCCGCGACAGCCGCAGCCGTTGCCAGCGGCCATGGCAGCAACTCGGCGGCACCCAGTCCATTGAGCAATTCGATACTGCCGCCGGCTCTGAGCAGCCAGGGCGAGGAGTTTGCGGCAACAGCGAGTCCCCTGCAACGGATGGCATCCATAACCAATTCGCTGATCACACAGCCGCCGGTTACGCCGCATCATTCACAGCCACAGCGGCCCACAAAGGCGGTACTGCCACCCATTACCCAGCAGCAGTTCGATATGTTCAACAATCTGAACACGGAGGACATTGTGCGGCGCGTCAAGGAGGCGCTCTCTCAGTACAGCATCTCGCAGCGGCTATTCGGCGAATCCGTGTTGGGTCTGTCGCAGGGTTCCGTGTCCGATTTGCTGGCCAGGCCCAAGCCCTGGCACATGCTCACCCAGAAGGGACGCGAGCCGTTCATACGCATGAAAATGTTTCTCGAGGATGATAATGCGGTGCACAAGCTGGTCGCCAGCCAGTACAAGATAGCGCCCGAGAAGCTGATGCGCACGGGCAGCTACAGCGGCAGCCCTCAGATGCCGCAGGGACTGGCCAACAAGATGCAGGCCACGCTACCCATGCAGAAGATGATGAACGAACTGAAACTACAGGAGCCAGCCCAAGCGCAGCACATCATGCAACAGATGCACGCAGCGGCCGCGATGTCAGCGGCCATGCAACAGCAGCAACAGGCAGCGGCCGCCCAAGCCGCCGCCGTGCAGCAGGCCCAGGCCCAAGCCCAGGCACAGCAGAGCCAGCAGCAGCAGCAGGCCCAGCAGCAGGCACAGCAGCAAGCACAGCTACTGCATCATCAGAATATGCTGTTGACATCGCCGGGTTTGCCGCCACAGCACGCGATCAGTCTGCCAGCGGCCAACACGCCCGGTGGCCAGCCCGTTGGTAATCCAGCTGCAGCCTCCACGCCGGTCAGCGGCGAGAAGAAGCCGATGATGATGCCGGTGCATGGTGGAGCACATGCGCCGAATGCTATGCGCAGTCTGCATCAGCATATGTCGCCAACCGTATATGAGATGGCCGCATTGACACAGGATCTAGACACGCACGATATAACCACCAAGATTAAGGAGGCGCTACTCGCTAACAACATTGGCCAGAAGATCTTTGGCGAGGCGGTGTTGGGGCTATCGCAGGGCTCCGTTTCGGAGCTGCTTAGCAAACCGAAGCCCTGGCACATGCTCTCCATCAAGGGTCGCGAGCCGTTCATCCGCATGCAGCTTTGGCTGAGCGATGCCAACAATGTGGAGCGTCTGCAGCTGCTGAAGAACGAGCGACGGGAGGCGAGCAAGCGCCGACGCAGCACCGGGCCCAATCAGCAGGACAACAGCAGCGATACGTCGAGCAATGATACAAACGATTTCTATACGAGCAGCCCGGGTCCGGGTTCGGTGGGTTCATCGGTGGGCGGTGCACCGCCCAGCAAGAAGCAGCGTGTGTTGTTCTCCGAGGAGCAAAAGGAGGCGCTGCGCTTGGCCTTTGCCCTCGATCCGTATCCAAATGTGGGCACCATCGAGTTTCTGGCCAACGAGCTGAGCCTGGCCACGCGCACCATCACCAACTGGTTCCACAATCATCGCATGCGGCTCAAGCAGCAGGTCCCCCACGGCCAGCCTGGCCAGGACAATCCCATACCCAGTCGCGAGAACACCAATGCCACACCCTTTGATCCCGTCCAGTTTCGCATACTGCTGCAGCAGCGTCTCGTCGAGCTACACAAGGAGCGCATGGGTCTGAGTGGTGCGCCCATACCATACCCACCGTACTTTGCCGCCGCTGCGCTGCTTGGACGCAGCCTGGCTGGCATACCGGGCGCTGCAGCGGCTGCTGGTGCAGCGGCAGCTGCGGCTGCTGCGGTCGGCGCCGCCGGCGGTGATGAGCTGCAGGCACTGAATCAGGCCTTCAAGGAGCAGATGAGCGGACTGGATTTGTCGATGCCAACGCTGAAGCGCGAGCGCACCGATGACTATCAGGATGAACTGGAGCTGGATGCCAGCGCTCACAATATGAGCGACAACGAGTCCATTGAGGGCAGCCACGAGCCGGAGAGTACGCCCATATCCGACTATGAAAAGGCGCTGCAAAAGTCCGCGCTCGCTTCAGCCGCCGCCGCTGCCGCCTACATGAGCAATGCGGCGCGCAGTTCGCGTCGCAAGCCGGCGGCACCACAGTGGGTCAATCCGGCGGGTGCTGGGACGCCAGCAGCAGCTGGCGCAGCTATCGCCGCTGTTGGCGGCGTCGCTGCCGGCGACAGCAGCAGCAACAGCGAGCGCATCATCAACGGCGTCTGCGTCATGCAGGCCTCCGATTACGGTCGCGATGAGAGCGGCAGCGTCAAGGGCGGCGACTCCAATGCAGATGCGGAGCACGAGGATCATGCGCAGCTGGAGATTGATCAGCGCTTCATGGAGCCCGAGGTGCACATCAAGCAGGAGGAGAACGACGATGACGAACAGTCGTCGCTGGCCCAGCTGCAGCAGCCGGACGAGGATGCCTTGCGCCTCGCCAGCGATGCGGACAAGCAGCTGAAGGTAATCAACGAGGAGAAGCTGCGACTGGTGCGCGTGCGTCGGCTGAGCAGCAATGGTGACGCCGAGGAGCACTGCGCCGCATCGCAGCAGGCGACAGCAGCAGCAGCAGCAGCGGCGGCGGCGCCGGCAACAGCAGCGTGGAACTACTAAGCCAGCAAACTGGCAGCGGAACCAGCAGCTCCGGAGAGTGCAATGCAGACGACGTTTACTTGTGATTAAGTTTGGCAGCGGCCCCACAAAATGTTTAGCCATTGGCTAATTCGATATATATATATACATGCATATTTATATATATATATATATATATACACACACATATATATAACGATATATACATAGCGCATAGCATACATATATATACACATCATATATAACTAGTTGATAAAGCTCTAAATTTTTTTTTTTTTTTAACGTAGTTGTAGCTAAAAGTTTAGAGACGCTATGCGAAGCGCAAGTGCGATTGAGAGCAGCGCAAAAGTATTAAATTGTTGGCTTTAAACTTGCCCCCCGCCACCCTCCCAACTTTTCCCTTAAGACCCATACAAAATATAATGCCCCCGACCCCCGCCCCTTTAAACTCCGCCACAACACCTCAACCTAAAAACTCTACCAAAAGCAAAATCTGTTCAGGCGCAGATTTTGCAAAAGATTTTTTTGATTTCTTTACGACTTGAAGACTGTAAGCAAATGGCGGTAGAATTTTATTATTATTATTAAACTTATTATGATAATGAAAATTACTATTTTTTTCCGCATTGTTAAGTGTAAATATATAAACAGTAAATATACAATATAAACCTAGAAACTCGTGGCCGTTCTGTAAATAGCAAATTGTAGATGTTGACGGCAAGACAAAAGTTCTTTCATTTTCCAAAAAAAAAACAAAAACAAAAACATAGCAAGAAAACTATATTATTATTATATTACTTTTTTTTTTTTTTTGTTGCACACAAAAGTTTTAACTATCTTTTGATCTCAAGCAGCACCAACTCACACATACACACACACAATTGTAAAAACAAAAATACATAACTTTAAACAAAACACCTGAAAACTGAAAAAACGAACAACAACAAGGCGAACCCAAAGTAAAAGATAGTTAAAAAAGTAATCTTTAAAAAACTAAAAGCGAGTTTTTTGCAACAATTTTGTTTTCTTGTTTTCCTTTTCATAAGAAACAAGCCACCTTCCCAAAAAAAAAAAAAACAAAAAAAAAACAAATATTCAATGAATAACTAACACAATAAATTTTGTAAATTTTAAATTTACGTAAAACAAAAAAAAAAATGATAATGCAAATTAAATATTATGTAAAACACAATGTAAACTTTATAAACAATATAGCAAAATAAATGCAAAATGCACTAAATTATTATTTATAATAATAAAAATATATAAATATATATGAATAAATTTTTATATATATATATATATATATATATATATATATAGATTATACAGTAAGCATTATGCCGTTTATTAACATAATCTAAAAGTAATTTAAATTTGCATTACAAATAGCATAATTTTTTTTTGTGAACTAAAATATTGGAAAATACAAAAACAAATAAGCAGAAAAAAAAACAAAAGATAATAAAAAGTAGACAACCGCATATCGTACTAAAGAAATTTCACAAATTAAAGCGTAAAATTAAAAATAAATTTAAATAAAATACTATATTTAAGTGAGCCAATTTTTTTTGCCTAAAACATAAGTTAAGATCGTAACAGTAAACGCAAAAAAAAAACTGTTTTCCTATACAAAAAAAAAAAGTAAATGAAAAAAAAATTACATTTTAAATAATAATAAACACATTTTTTTCACTAGGTTAAAGTTTACGCTATACAAAATCTTTCTAAAAAAAACAAATAAAGTTCGCGATAAAAGAACAAGAAGAAATCCCCAACACACCCACAAAAAATAACACATCAAACTTTTTTGCATAGGCCCCAACTTTGCCGCGTTATTATTATATATATAATAAAATTTAAAAAAAATTAAACTAAATTTTAAATAAAAAAAAAAAAACATATACCAAACACATTTCAATACCTAAAAAATACAATTTGCGTCTTCAAATAAAAAACTAAAAAAAAATTAAAAAAAGTTTACAAAATATAGTAAAGAGAAAACAACAAATTTTTTTCAAAGAAAAGAAAAATATGCAAGACAAATTTTTGACCCTGTCAGCAATTTGTTGAAATATTATTTAAATTTAATTTAATATTAACAGTAATATATATGTATGCATATATATATTTTTTAATTTGAAATGTATTTAGTTTCTTAAAGTTAACGTGTTAAATACTTTGCATTTTCATACGCTTTAGCTAAATAATAATTACAAATATAATTAAACAAATATTTATGCATAATATTTACATACATATATATATACATATATATATATATATATATGTGTATATATATATATACATATGTATATATATATATACAATATATACAAAATATGAAATAATGAGCTATGTTTAAGTTGAAAGTGTTGAGAGAGAGGGGGAATTCACAAAAGAAACGTATGATGGCAACATTTAGTTATAATTATTTTTTAGATCGACTATTTTTTTTTTTCGTATTGTAATAATTATGATCAATTTTTTTTTTATTATTATTATATTATGATTATTATTGTAATAACGATAAAAACAAACAAAAAACATACCAATAATACATGAACATAAATGAAACTTTATCAAATAAAAATGTTTTCTTAAACAAAAAAAAAAACAAAAAAAAAACAAAACACCCCATCGAAATTCCTTTTTTAATTTTGCACCATTCCAAATGTATATATATATATATATATATATACATATATATATAATATAGGGCCTTATTATTTCCATGTTCTGATGTGCCCAATGCCCTCCCTACGAGGAGCATGCGATATGCAAATGAAATGCTGCAGAGGAACTACAGTACTCGCAAACTAATTTAACTCATACCCCACCCACACACACACAGGCACACACACACACACACACACACACACACACATGGGCACACCCACAGATTCGCTGTATGGGCCAAAGGAATCCAATAACGCAAATGAGCTAGCGTTAGAATTTGTGAGAAATGGACATATATATGCACGCATGATCTATAATTTTATACGTAGTATATACACAAACCCACACACACACACACACACACACACGTAAAGAAATAGTAATATGTAGAGTTACATTACGGTATATGATAACAATATGCGGTGCTAGCCAAGTTTACATAAACAATAAACGGAAAACGAGACACAAGATACAGATGCAAGCTAAAGGATACAGTTACAGTTATAGTACACTAGTTAAAAAACTAGTTAAGTAGGCAGTGAAATTTTTTGCATAGATCCTGTAGCATTGAGACATATAGAAATACTTATAGACATAACTCAAATAATACGATAATTGCAATGCAAAACGTAATCGATATGAAAATAAGAAATACAAAATACAAGAACAACAAATATTGAAAAGACAAAAATGATACGTAATTAATTTTAAAATTGCAAGCGAGAGCGCATAAGGATTATCGTATATATATAATTTAAAATCAAAAATATATCTATATATCTATATCGATAACTGTAAATATGAAACATAAGGAACTTGTATTTAGCAAAGCAAACCGAAAACGAAATCAAATACAAATTGCATAAAAAATTATCCTTCCAATTCAAGACGAAAAGCAGACGACAGTACATATGCTTTTTTATACAACGTACTTAAACAATATAAATTACAAAAAGAAAAAAACAAAAAACAATGAAGTAAAAAATACATAGAAACATTTTTTTTTCGTTGTCACAGAACAACTTTGCGGAATGTGCATCAATTTATAATATAATATGCATATATGAATAGCTGTATGAATAGAAATGAATTTAAGCCCACGGTGATATACACACACACACGCACACACAAAAAAACACATACACACACACACACACACACACACACAAACACACACACATGCACATAACTATTAACAATAAACCAAAAGAAAAAGTTTTTTAGATTCCGCCAAGATTTTATTTATAAAGGAAGAAAAATTAAATAAAAATGTACATAACATAGTGGAAATGACAGTAAATTAAACAATTAACAAATATATATACATAAATATATATATGTATTTATATATATATAAGTATATATATATATATACATATATATTTATATATATATATATATATATATATAGATACATAAAAGTTCACATCTTAAAACAGACCATATCAACATTATATATATAAAATGGTATTGTGTAGTTATTTACAGTTATTTTAGCTTTACACATACAGACACATGCATACATATAGTATTATGGATTTACAATGCAGTTACACACACACATGCACACATGCAAAGTATGTATATATACATGCATATGTAGCACACACAAACGAGTCTGAATCCAACAGAAATATTCAAATTGAACCAAAAGCCGCAGTTAACACACACACACGCACACACACTGACAAGCGCACTTGTGAGTGTAACAAAAAGAATCTCCTCAGTTTTCAGATATTTCAGATATACAACAGATGCTAAGAAACCAACACCGTTTTCAGTTTCAAATCCGCCCAGCAATAAAAAAAAAAAACAAAACAAAAAAAACATTTAACCAAAAATAAAAATAAATTATTAAGCAAATGTTAGGTTAGGTTAACCAAACTTAACCACAGCAAATGTGCCCAATAAAGAAAATAATAATAAATAAATAAAAAGAGAAATCCATTTAAATGAATACATAAATAATGCAGCAAAAATATCAAAAATTTTAGCTATATATATATGCATATATACATTTACATATATATAGATATATATGTGTGTATATATAACTGATTGAAATGGCATCTTAACTTAGTGGCCTAAATTTAAGCACTCGACACTTTGGCAAAAAGAAAAGACATTCGACTCGATACAATTTTTTAAATTTAAGCAATTAAAAAAACATAAATAACTAGAAATACATAATAAAAAACAACAACAACAACAATAACAATTTCATTACGTAATTGATAGAAGCAACAATTTTTTTTTGCATTTCTTGTAAAAATTGTTGCACTTATATAATAAAGATTTTTTTTTTGTTAACTTAAGAACCTGTTTTATATATATATATATATATATATATTATATTATATATATATACATATATATCTACATTATGTTAATTTGTAAATTAACATTTTCATTTAGAAAAAAAGAAAAGAAAACAATGCAAAAGGCAATTTTTAGGGGTTTGCGCTAAAATGCAATGGCATTTATTAAAAAAAAAAATTTATTTAAAACAAATAAATAATAAATTTAAAAAAATCGAAAAGAAAAACGACAACAAGAAGAAGAAATCAATGCAAATACTTCAAAATAATATATTTAAATAAAATATTTAAATAATATAAATAATAAATAGTTTATATAGCATGTAAAACTGAACAGAGAAATCAAATTCAATAAAGACGAATATACTGTATTCCAAACAATGCTGCATACCTTGATTTTCCTTGGCACGGTAAATTTATAATAACTTGGGATTAATATAGTTTTTCAGCTTGTATTCTCGTCATTGAGGGGACCCATTTATACATATCTTAATATATATTATTGATATATTTTTTATATTTAATACTAGTAAATACAAATATTTTCGAAGTTCGATTGTTGACCGATTTTTCTAATGAAGTAAATGAAAAAGTGTATCAAATCGGTTGACTATGGCATCCATCTATGCTGCCTGCATCAAATATTGTTCTATATATATTTATATATCGTAGGGTATCTCTCTTTTATCAACATTTTGAACACAAAATTATAATAGCCTCTAATTTCCCAACACTGCTCTAATTAAACACCATCGTAGTTCGCAAAGTTACCCATAGAGCCTACAATAGAGCTTGGAAATAAAAGCTTTTCAAGCACAACACAAGTGAGCATTAAGCGTAAATACTCAAGGCCACAACCCCAAAGTCCAACCTTTTCACATTGGGGGTTGCCAGCTTACAGGCGTTCGGCCAGCAGGCGCCATCTATGGCATAAATGTGTGCACTTCATTTGTCAAGCGGCATCTAGCGTCGGTTAGCTTACGTTTTCAGCCAAATTGCTATTAACCATAGCACACTTGGTACTAACCCTTGCATTATATTATACCAGCCTCCAACTGCTGACGACCTTCTCGCTCTTTTGGTCGTGACAGCCCA